GTTTTTTAATTTACGCCCAGTTCAATTTGCGCTTTTTGTTTTATCGCAGGCTCATAATTTATTGCGCGTTTTTTTTTTATGCTCTTTGTTTTTGCTGGCATTTGCGAATTGAATAGCAAAGAGAGCCGACCGAAACGCACAGCATTTGCCGTTATTTTTATTGTAAGGTGCACACGAGCAATGGCCGCCACCTCGTTTCGGATTAGCTTTTGTTTATGAAAGCTTACAGTTCTTTTTTTTGTTTACTGTTGTTGTTGTTGTTGTTGTTGTTGTTGTTGTTGTTATTACTGCTTATGCTTTGTTTACGACGACTTCAGACAACTATAAAATACAGCTGCGCCCCACCCCACCGAGCGCATGTCGAGATTCGTTTCAAGGCAGCTTCTGTGGACGATGCACTCCAAGCATATGCAAAATAGTCATTGAACATTATTGTAATTCCCTGGTTCTTTTCGAAAAGGTACTAGAAAAGCTTCTTACAGTTGAATTTTAAGTATATTTTGTGAATCGTTTTTCCTCCGAAAGAAGGGAAGAGCAAAACTGACTGACTGCTCACATATTTTGTGATTTCAACGGCATTAGCCTCTATCTTTAACTAGTTACAAATTTACATATTTTAATAGGCTAGCAGAAGATTACTCAATTACCCAAATATGAGCAACCCATGGTTAATTGATGCTCTTTATTTAATCTATGGCGCTACCGCCCAATTGATTGCCGTCAGTCATTATGAATTGAAGTTTAAACAAAGCGCGAAAGTCAGAAATGCAGCCATGCTATTATTAAATCGATATAATATAATCGATATTTTAGCGCATTGCAGAACCATTTTGAGCTAACAGTGTCATTTCGGGCTTAACAGCGGATGTGCTGGTTAACAGTCTTGCTTGTTAAGCTATTAACGAAATGATTTTATTTTATAAAATACGTCAATTTCTTCTCGTGGTTAATGCATTAGGAGGCGCAACTTTGGCAAGAGAGTTTATTTGATGCAACTGTAAACGCAGCAAATATCTGAATATATCGATAAATGGGAACGCCTATCGATGCTAACACTCGAATACGCATCCTCTTCAGCTGTGTGCGCGTATACGTGTGTCTGAGCGCGTGTGTGTGCGTGCATGTGTGTGCGTGCGTGTGTGTGTGTGTGTGTGTGTAAGCGCCTCCGTGCAATCTATTAAGTGTGGAATAGCAAATATCAATTGAATATAGAGAATAAATCAAACGAGCGTCCGACCGCTGGCGTTCGCCCTAAATAATTGTTGTTTCTAGTGCGATTTACCGTTGCTGTTACTGTCGCCGTCGCCGTCGCCGTCGTTGTCGTTGTCGGTGTTGTCGCTATATTGCCTTAATGTTTTTGTTGTTTTTGTTGTTGTTGTCGCTGTGTATCTGTTGACGGCAACGCGCAACGGCCAACTGATGAATTTCAATTGTTTTCATTAAACGGTACAGAAAGCAGAATAAAGAAAACCAAATTTATGCGCGCGCCGCCCGCCCCAAACGACGCCCCGCCACCGTTACCATTACCGTCATCGTCACCGTCGCCGTCGCCGTCGCCGTCACCGTCACCGTAACCCAATCCGCCCCAGCCGTTACCAAAAGGCGAACAGCAGCAATAGCAGTTGCTATACACGCACGCATACACGGACACACGCCCCCCAGAGTCCCGGATCTGCAAACAGAAAAAAAATATGTCCTCGAACAGCTTTGGCAGCGGTGCTGCAGCTGCAGCTGCGTTAACCTCGGCCTCCGCGGCGGCCGCAGCCGCAGCAGCGGCGGCGGTTAACAGTGATTTGTGGCGCGAATGCGTTGCCTGGCTGGTCCGCTGCAAGGTTATACCCGCCGACCACAAGGCCGCCCTGCCCGACGCCGAGATACGCATACTGGCCATGACATTACGTGACGGTGTGCTGCTCTGCAATCTGGTCATACACCTGGATCCCAGCAGCATGGACGCGCGCGAGTTCAATCGCAAGCCCCAAATGGCCCAGGTGAGCCCTGCCCCCCCCCCCCCCCCCCCCCAGGGTTAACGAAGCAAACGTTATAATGTGCCGTGTCTCGCTTTCAGTTTCTGTGCTGCAAGAACATCAAGCTGTTCCTGGACGTGTGCCACAATCATTTCAATATACGGGATGCGGACCTATTTGAGCCCACCATGCTATACGATCTAACCAACTTCCATCGCGTGCTCATCACCCTCTCCAAGCTGTCGCAGTGTCGCAAGGTGCAGCAAATGCATCCGGAGCTGCTGTAAGTGCCACAGCTGTGCGCTCCGACTGCAATGGGGCGTGTGATGCAGTTTTAGTTAGTTGCTGGTTTTTTTTTTTTTTTTTTGGGTCAAATTGGATGAGCTCATGGCTCGCACACTGCTATCACACAGCCCCATTGCCGCGCCATATGCAAAGGTGCCAATTAGCTCTAAACAAATTGTGTTTTTGTAATTTTACAGCGGCTTCAATCTGCAGCTGTCGCCCAGCGAGCGTTCCCATTCGGATGAGGCCATCTATAAGGATTTGCATTCCACGTAAGTGTTTATACGTTTCTAGTTAGACACAAGCGTGAGCATTGCGTGTAATCTTTAGTGCGTGCTTTCCCCGCCTTTCCAAACCGCCCCCAAACCATGCCTCCTGCCCCATTCTTTAGCCAATCCAATTGAAATGTTCTGTTTGCATTTCCTGTTTGAGATGTTTGCTCGGGCGCTGTCTCATTATGCGCTCGCGTGGCCGACAGTGTCCCGATGCCAGACCACAGACCCGAGACCCGCTTAAGCCCCTGTCTGCCTGCTTATCAGCAACAACAACAACAACAACATCAACACCAACACCAACATCAACAACAACAACAACAGCAGTAACAAAATCAACAAATATCCATGTCCAAGCTTTATCTAACGCTGTTTCTCTCTCTCTCTCTCTTTCCCACTCTCTCTCTCTCTCTCTCTCTCCCTATTTTTCTTTTCCGGCTGTCTGTTCCGTACTCTCTCCTTCTCATTCCCCCTGCAATACATTGTCTTTTTGCTGCCCCAAAAAATGTTCACCATATTGTCGCCTAACACTCCCATGTCTTGGCTCTGTGTGTGTCTGTGTGTGTGTGTGTGTGTTTGTGTGTGTGTGTCACAATGCCCCCCGCACCCAACCACGCCTGCACATACCCTCAACCGGCAGCAATGAATTTAAGGCAACTAGAAGCATCGATGCCACCGGATCTTCATCCTCGGATTACTACGAGCGCACCTCACAGAGCGGTTCGCTCTCGGTGGAGGACGAGAATAGCGATATAACCATAGAGAATGGCACCGAGGACATTGACGACTATATCGAGGATTCGCTGTCAAACATGTGTGATACAACGATCGACAATGATGCCGCTGGCATCGTTGACATCAATCAATCCGTCCAGGGGCAGCTGCGCGCTCTCTCCCTAGACCTTAACCTGAGCGTGGCCGGCAACGGTGGCTTTGATTGTGTCACGCCGACACCACAAATGGATGCACCCAAGGCGAGCACATCCGCAGCAGCAGCAGCCGCGGCAGCGGCAGCGTCAGCGTCAGCAGCAACAGCTGCCCTCGAGAAGCAACATCATGCGTCCACCAGCTCCTCATCATCATCGCTATTTGTCAGCGAGAGCCAACGATTGCAGCGAGCCGCCGCTGCCGTCTACAACTACCGATCCTCGGTGCTGATGTCCACAGAGCACGAGTACGCGTACATCAACGATATCTACAGCGAAGATGACGAGAAGGTCTATGAGGATCTCTGCTACGTAACGTTCCAGTCAAAGGTCAAACCAGAGGTGTGCTGCCTTCAAACTCCATTATACTCGTTCTCTGTAAAATCAAACACCACCAAACCACAATCCGAACAACAGCCAAACGCTTGTTTGTACTTGCAACCTTGACTCTACTCGTATGTATGTATGCTGCAACTGGCTAACTGCTTCACAGCTGCCCAGCACCACTCTCACAGCTATCACTAGTGGCTATACTTAATCCACACACACCCACGTACACCCAATCCACTTTCCCGCCTCACATCTCTCACCTTTCACGACATGCTATCGCACCAATCAGCCACCTGCACTGCAACTCATGCGTTTCTATGTCGGATTATGTCTGTGCATTCTTTGTTTGTATTTGCTTTCTGTTTTGTTATCTCTCTCTCTCTCTCTCTCTTTCTTTCTCTCTCTCTCTATCACTCTCCTTACCTCCCTCCCGTTGTAAGCTCCACATTCCGAACAGACACCTGAAGTGCGCGTCGCCCACATACCATAAAATGCAATGCCAATTGGACAAACGGAAATGGCAACAATATTTTGTTGTTTTTTTTTTTTTTACTTTTTAATCGTAACCGTTGTCTGACAAAACTGACAAATTCGCCAATCCCATTAGTTTCGGGCTTATATGTATTATGGCGCAGATATATGCCAGACACGATCTACTGATTCATGCGGGCGATGCAGACATGCAGACGGATAGAACCACAACAAACTAACGCTAAACAGATATCGATCCAAACTTTTTGGGGGCCTTTTGTTAGCCAACTCTTCAGATAACAGCTGAAACAAATGGGTATCTCCAAAGCAAGCATGTTTTCATAATACGTTCCTATCTGCATTATCTATGCACCTGGCTATGCCAATCCGATTGAGTACTGTGTGCGCAGCTCTCATCAGTTCGTAAATGGTTTGATTAAAGTGCAAATTTGGAATTTGGATTTGATATTGCAAAGGAAATCCCAAAGTTGCCGCTCAAGCTCCCCATCTGAATATTTGAATATATATATTTTTGATAGCCCCACTCAATTTCAGAATTTTTCGATTAAATTAAACATTTTCGATTCAGTTCAGATCCAGAACCATTGTAAGGGCTTTCCAGATCAGACATGTTGGAACTAAGTTCTATATTTTTATAATATTAAACGGAGATTTCTACGTGTCCAATGTAAACTCAGCACAAGTCATGCGCTTCGCCTTTGCCGAAGATGTTCTTCAGATAAGACGCCTTTTTCAAACCGAATGACGTTTATATTTTCAACACGTTTTTAATTACACAGATATATATGTATATATATATATAATATTAGGTAGCCACCATGAGGTTGCCTTATATAGAACAAATTAAAGCCCTAATACATATCATATTTCATGGGCCCAGCGCACGACTCGATCATGCGGGTAACTAAAGTCAGGAATTCAGATTCAAATTACATTCTAGATTATTAATTTTCTTTTATAATGTTATAGGCCTTGGCAGCCAGTGCGCTTGCTTAAAAGTTAGCTTGTTGCTTCAAAAACTATATTAATGAAATATAATTTTAAGTGATCAGACATCATTCAATTGCAAGCTACTTTTAAACTGTGCCAATCGTCTGATCAAATATATATAGCATATTATACATGTAAACGAGATAGAATAGCATTTGTTTATGTGGGTAACATTGTAATAGTCAATAATTTAATCCCTCAACTTTCCAAAATCTAATTTCGCTTTTGCTTTCTGCTGTTTTCAATCCGTTGCCGATAATTACATATATATATATAACTTTTGTATATATATATTTTCATTTTTTGATAGTATGTTCGTGTGTGTTATTTTTTTATTTGCCTTTCAATAACAATACGCGAGTATCTATAATAATTCTTGATGATCTTAGGGAGATCATATTTTGAACTATCTAGAGCTTATAGCGTTTCATGCTTTTCAAGTCTTTTCTTTAAATACAGTTCATGTTTTTACCTGTCGTGCCTGTGTCTTGTGTTGTGTGTGTTTGCCTTACGAAAATAACAGCCAGGATCGTGTGTGTGTGTGGTGTGTGTGTGTGTGTGTGTATGTGCGTGTGTAAATAAAGCAATATATGATTCATTTTTTAAAAGGAACATGATGTTCAGCATCTTAAGCTTCCATCCAAACTTCTAACTTAGCCGCCTCATGGCTGGCCAATGTCATCCTCATCGGTGTTGTCGTCGTCGTCGTCGTTGTCATCATCGTCACAGCTGCTGTTGCAGTTGTAGTCAACGGTATTGTAGATGTTCATCAGCAGCGGCGTCACATTCACGCCAGGCACCAGCTGCTCCAACAGCTGGCCGGCCACTTTGCAGAGGCCGCCGAGACGCAGCTCCATGCGATGCTCGTAGCGGCGGCGATGTCTGTAATATTTTTCCCTTTCGGTCAACGCCTTACGCTTTCTGTTTGACGATAACGGCCTGGCCGTCAGCGTTGCTGATCCTGACCAGCTTGACGACTTGGCTCGCTCGCCTTCGTCGAGCGGCACTGATCCAGATGCAGACTCGTAGTTAGCGGTTAACTGCTCCACAGCGGTTGTCTCGCATATGTCCGAAGCTGATTTCGCTGGCAAGGGCGAGCCCAAAATAGACTCCGCCTCCGATAAGTCGGACACCTCAACGGCCACCGGATCGGAGGGCTGTGAGCTCTCCTCTGAATCCGAGTCCGTGTATATGTCCGATGGATAGCTCTCGCCGTAGCGCCTATTTGACAGCTGTCGCACTTGCTTGCCAATTAGGATGGCATCACAGCTCTTGTCCAGCTCCTCGTGCTGCTGCTGCTGCTGCTGCTGCTGCTGCTCATCTGGCATAGCAAGTGCATAGTCGAGCTCCACATCGACCGCAGCCTCAACCGACTGCAATTGGCAACGCATATGTTTGCGAGCGCTGTTTGGCGCCGCTATCGCTGTACCAAAACTGTGATCATTGACAACGCCACGAATGGCCATATTGTTGTTGTGCGCGTGCTCCTGGACGTTGGGCTCCTTGAGCGCATACGAGTGCAGGTCGGTGGTCTTTTGGTTCATGTACGCGTGTATCTCCCCAAAGAACTCCCATTCCTCGTTGAGCACATCTATGCATTGCTTGTTCAGCGGCGTCGCCTGCATATTGGACTTTTGGACGCGATAGCGCTGAACCATGTTTAGCCACTGTTTGCGCAGCGCCCGTTCGCTGTAGTCGCCAATTTTGGCCATGTCCTTGAACTTTCTGCAACACACAGCCAACAACAGCCACGCACTCCATATGTATACATATATTTGATATGAGGAAAAAACCATATGCACTTACTTCCATGGCTCCGCTTGCTTGGACGAGTATTTGGCGAACAAATCTTCTGCCTCGATGCGCTTTGTGACAAGCAGACGCTTCTCCTCCACAGACCCTGCAAATTTCGAGTGACAGCCTCCATATCTTGTTGAGCAAATGCATGCGCATTACTTACACTTTTTGGAGCCACTTTTTGCATATGTGTGATGATCCATTGCGCAGTTTGTGGCTGAAAATGTTTTCAACGCACGTGCACAGCGAAATTAACGAACAAAAAAAAAATGAATGGAAATTGGATGCTTGGCTGCTGCTGTTAGCTCTGCTGCTGCTGCTGCTGTTGTCCGTCTGCCCTGGTTCTGTTAGCTGTATGTTAAGTTAACAGGCTTCTGTTATTGGCAATGCTGGCGTGTTAGTCGTCTGTTGAATGATGAGGCATAATCTTTGCCTATCGACATATCGATAAACGCAAGTCTCAAGAAAATTATTGCCACACTTTATAGTCTTGCGCGCCAAATTAGTTTAATTAAAAAAAAAATTGTAATCTTTAATTTTGCTTAGAGTTTTGTTTTCGTTATTTGTTTTTTTGCTTTGATTTATTTTACTTTTGTTTTTGTATTTTTTTTTTTTTTTTCATTTAGTACCACCGACAATATTGCATGCAATGGAACCGTATATGATCACACCAACACAAAAGAAGAGGAGGTCTATCAAGATTTGTGCGCACTGCACAGAACGAGTAGAGGCCAGGTAGTAATTTGGTTTAACTTTGTACATTTCTTAAAGCCTGCCAAACAATGTTTAGCTATGCTTAGTTGCATGACTCTGTGACGAGGCTGCTGCCTAAGCTCAGCTCAGATTGACTAACTGCTGCACATCTCTTCCTGTTAATGTAGACCACATCGGCGACCAGCTTTGAGCAGCGGGACTATGTCATACGCGAACTCATCGATACGGAATCCAATTATCTGGACGTGCTCAATGCACTCAAATCCAAGTTTATGCTACCTCTGGAACGACATCTCAATCAGGACGAACTGCGACTCATTTTTCCCCGCATACGGGTGAGCACGGAAACTGGGATACACACCTACTATACAACATCTACACACACAGCTAATATTTTGTTTGTATGCATTTCCAGGAACTAGCTGACATTCACACCAAGTTTTTAGAGAAGCTACGCGAATCGCTGGTGCCCAGCACAAAGCTTAAGATGGGTCAGGTATTCCTTGAGTTTCGCGAACCATTCCTCATCTACGGCGAATACTGCTCCTGCCTGCTGAACGCCATTGATTACCTAGCCGATGTGTGCAAGAAAAACCAAATAATAGACCAGCTGGTCCAGAAATGCGAACGCGAATACAACGTGGGCAAGCTGCAGCTGCGGGATATACTGTCGGTGCCCATGCAGCGCATACTCAAGTACCATCTGCTGCTGGACAAGCTGGTGAAGGAGACGTCGCCATTGCACGAGGATTACCGCTCGCTGGAACGGGCCAAGGATGCCATGATCGATGTGTCGCAGTATATTAACGAGGTTAAGCGCGATTCTGATCATCTTGTCATCATACAAAAGGTCAAGGACAGCATATTTGATTTGAATTTGCCGCAAAACGGCAACGATCTGCTGCAATACGGCCGCCTGCTGCTCGACGGTGATCTGCACATCAAGGCCCACGAGGATCAGAAGACCAAGATGCGCTATGCGTTTGTCTTTGACAAAATTCTGATACTGGTCAAGCCGCTGCACATTAAAACCGGCGACATGCAGTACACATATCGCGACTCGCACAACCTCGCCGATTATCGCGTGGAACAGAGCCATTCGCGGCGCACGCTCGGCCGGGATACGCGCTTCAGATATCAGCTGCTCTTGGCACGTAAATCCGCCAAGACGGCATTCACACTTTACTTGAAGTCGGAGCATGAGCGTGATAAGTGGCGCAAGGCGCTCACCGAAGCCATGTAAGTGTCATGCGAAGCTGCCATGCCATGAACTTTGAAATGAAACTTTCAATTGTTTTGCAGGGAAAGCCTCGATCCACCTGGCTGTCGCAATACGGATCACAAAATGGAAATCTACACCTTTGATGCGCCCACAACTTGTCGGCATTGCTCCAAGTTTCTTAAGGGCCGCATACACCAGGGCTATCGCTGCAAGGTGTGCCAGATAAGTGTGCACAGGGGCTGCATCTCCTCCACGGGCCGTTGCAAACAGAATCCGATCAGCATACCGCCGCCAGTGTGCGACCGCCAGTTGTCTGAGTTCAACTGGTTTGTCGGCAATATGGACCGTGAAACGGCGGCCAATCGATTGGAAAATCGCCGCATTGGCACCTATCTGCTACGTGTACGTCCCCAAGGTGCCTCCTCGCCGCACGAGACCATGTACGCGCTCAGTTTGAAGTGAGTACAATCCCACCAATCCCAGAAACCAAACAGAAAAATATATCTAAACCGTTTCCCTCTCTCTCTATCTCTCTCTCTCTCTCTTTCTTGCTCTTCATGCAGAACCGATGATCATGTGATTAAGCATATGAAAATCAATCAGGAAAACGATGGCGAATCCATGCTCTATTGTTTATCTTCGCGCCGCCATTTCAAGACCATCGTTGAGCTGGTTTCGTATTATGAGCGCAACGATCTGGGTGAAAACTTTGCCGGGTAAGTGATGGAGCTAAAAAAAAAACATTCCCTCTCCTGCTGTGTAGTTACTGAACACAAATTGTTATTGTTAACAGGCTCAATCAGTCGCTGCAATGGCCCTTCCGCGAGGTCATTGCCACCGCGCTGTACGACTTCGATCCGAAGGCTGGCAGCAATCAGCTGCAACTGCGCACCGATTGTCAGGTGCTTGTGATTGGCAAGGATGGCGACAGCAAAGGCTGGTGGCGCGGCAAGATTGGTGATACGGTGCGTAGCTTCATTTGTAGATCAAAGCTAGATTGCTATATTTATAATGTTTGCAGGTTGGATATTTTCCCAAGGAGTACGTTCAGGAGCATCCAGTCACCAGCGACGAGCTTTGATATTACAACTATGAGGTTTACTTCGCACCTAAAGCGAGCACTCCAACGGCGGCCATTTCTGAAACACCTGTAGCTCTACAAGCGACAAACGAGGAGACGATTCCCAACTACAGCAATAACAACAACAACCACAACAACAACAATAACATCTGTTAGACAGGCAACAACAAGATGAACATGATGCTGAGAAAGCAATATCTGTTGCACTTAGTTCAAATATACATATACAAAATCATTTTAAATTAATTAATTGTATAATCTGTTTGTTTTTTTTTTTTTTTTTTTTATATATATATTTTTTGTGTGTAAATTTTCGTCGCTCGAAACATTAGTGCCAACAACAGAACAATTATGAAATGCATCACAAAATGTTCTATAAAATTTTAAACGTTTTTTTTTTTTTTAACTAATTGTATATTGCAATACATAATTAAATGCATAGTTTGTAAGCATATGTGAACTGTATTGAGAAGCGTAACAGTTTAGTCTATTTAAATTTTACGTGTATTTCATGCCCCCCCCCCCCTGCGTATTTTGATTAAGATACCATGTGAAAATAACAAAACGATAAAAATAGAAATGAAGACGAGAAAATAGATAAACATAAACAAATGCGCTGTGCGGCATTTCATACAAGAAGCTTTAAACTTTATATACTTATATATATATATATAAATCACACACTACTGTATAACGTATATATATATATATATACATATACATATGTATGTATATATATATGTGAATATATATGCTTACATATGGTATATAATGGAAAGTGTCAAATATGTGTATATTAAACTTATGAATAGTTCGAAACGCAAATGTTAACAAGTCAAAAGCAACAGAGCAACAATTCTGCGACAACGGCAAAAAGCTTTAGCAAATCACGATATAACGTTAAAGAAACAATGAAACAAACAAACAAACAAAGAAACATATGCATAAGAGTATGCCAACTTATATAAATTCGTAATTAAATATTAACCTTATTGTACCTAGAGCCAACGAATGTAGCAGACTTAACAAGTATATTCGAGGTGTTCAACGATTTACTGAAATTCAATCAACACGATAAGCATTAATCACTTTATGAATATTAGGAATAGTATATCATATATTATATTCACGCCAGTTTCTAGCACAGCAATAACAAATAACAAGCAAATGTTTGCCTTCTGTATTTCTTAGCAAGTTGCAATTTAGGTAAGCAACATAACGACAACAATGACAACAGTTAAAATATAGATAAAAGCCAATTGATATGTTGGTTTCAGGCTTAAGTATGAGTATATATGTTGTATATGTATGTGTGTACGGTTTCACATATATCGTGATAAACTTAATTTTTTATGGCCCAATAACAAAACGTATAATGTACTTTGTTTTATAGACTTAACGCAAACATTTCCAAACTGCATTTAAATTCTCTTGCAACAATCACTCTCTCTCTCTCTTTCTCTCTCACACACACACACACACACTCTCCCTCTCTCTATCTTTTGTCTGACTATCTCACTCGATACGATATTTAAATATATAAACATATGTATGTGCATGTACTGAAATCATTGTTTGGCAGCTGAAATATATTAATGATAAAATAAATTAGAATAACTAAACGAAAACAATGCCACAAATAACGTATATATTGGCCCGCATTGTTTCGGGCTGTTTAAGTAGTTTTTTGTTTGTTTCTTTAATTGAAATTTGTCGCTTCCAGTTCAATGCCAATGTAACAAATGTATTCAATTCAAAATGATTTTGCTTAACACACACACATGCACACGCCAAGAAAAACAAAAACCAAAACAAAAACACGCTAATAAAGGACTTTGAATGTTTTGTTGTTCAATTAAAGTCAAATTGTTTTAGCTCCATGTAAAGAATGGGCACAGAATCCATTTGATGCCTAAATAAAACTACAAACTGTCTTTCCCCTTGCAGATTCGTCTAAGTAGTTCGAACTCTTTCTCTCTTCCTCACGTTTTCTTACTCGATCTCTACTGTTAACTATCGCCTTTCTATGCGATTCTCATAAAGACGGACCAACAGAGGCAACCGCTTTATCGACAAAACAGTTGCCACGAGGTACAGATGTACAAAGAAAAATACACTTCATTTACGCAATACGTACATAGGACCTGTAGTTGGTTCCAAAATGCTATTTTCGAGATTTCAATTAAATTTGGGTTAAATATATTGTCTTTGAATTTAAATAACATTTTGTAGACATATTTAAATAATGCAGTTTTTCGAAATTTTCTTCAAATTCATAAAAAGA